GGCGGTGGAGGGGGCCGATCTGAAGCCGGTCCCGCCCGAACTGAACCTGCCCGGATCGGCGGCCGGCGCGGCCTCCAACGACGACGACGACATGGAAGAGGTGAGGGGCCCTCGCGCGCGCTCTGCGGCTCTGTCGGCTGCTTGAGGCCGCGTACTGCCGTCGAACGGCGCGGCCAGCTCGGTGGAGGCGGTCCTGCGCGCGGGTTGGCCGCGGAGGAGCGCGACAGGGAGGGATGGCGGGATGATCGAGGCTCGCACGCACACCGTAGTGGTTTTTTTTTTGCGAGACGACTGCTGCTGCAAAACTGCTGCCGACAGGCCTCTTCGACACCGATTGTACACGACAGCAGCCACAGTTAAGGTTTCTACTGACAGTCCTCATGCGGGACAATCAATGTACACCATGAGAGTTTACTGGTACAGATGATGTAGCATGACGATAATTTTGCCTGTGGCAATACTAACGTTTAGCAGCGATGGTGCTTGGTCATGATGCGTTGTCCACTGCAGCCGTTTGCTGAAGGAATTTTGTTTGTATGACTCCCGTCGGGCAAAACTGTAGTTGCAGATGTTTTAGCCGTGGTGGTAGTTTCTCTGCAGAGCTATGTCGGGAGTAGTTGTGACGTGGTGTGGGTATCGAGTAGAAGTTCTGCAAGTAAGATCTAGTACCCCCGTAGTTCTCTCATAACAGGGTGAGAGCGTTTCATAGAGTTGTAAGCCGAGTGGGACACTGTATGTGAATTTTACGTCTTCTTTGCAAGTCATCCCCTATCTATTTCACTGATATTTGAACTGGTATCAGCGCTTTCCTCGCACCAGTGCATGGATATTCCTCAACACAGGCCACAACGTAAAGCGGTGTTACCTCGTCACCAAAAGCATCGATGTTTGGCGCTTGTGTCGCAAGCACCAAACCTCACGCAGTGGGGCCGAGAAGGCGACCACCACCGCCATCACACGGACACACCACTGGAGCGGGGCTCCAATCACACGCGTGCCCTGCGCCCCGCCCCGTCCCGCCGCCCCGGCGACACCGACGCCCCCCTGCGGCCGACAGGTGGAGGTGGAGCGGTGCTTCCTGTGCCGGCGGCCGGCCACCCAGTCGCTGACCTGTCTGATCCTGGGCCGCACCGGCGGCACGACCTGCTCGCTGGCCGAGCGGCTCAGCGGCTGCGTGGCGCCGCGCAAGCTGGACGTCAGCACGGCTGACGGCGTGTGCCGCCCGTGCGTCGCCCTCATCGACACGGCCGACCAGCACTACCACCAGTACCAGGCGAGTGCGCCGACACCGCGCGGCGCTGCTGATCGGGCCGCGCGAGTGCCAGCCCTGGCCGGCGTCAGCTGATGTCTGGCGTTACGTGACTGATCTGGCGAGGTGTCTGACGTCACAGAGATAATCTCTCGAGGTATCTGATGTACAGAGATGATCTGTCGAGGCGTCTGACGTCTCGGGCTGGTTACTCGGCAGCTGGCCAGCCAGGGGATTGTCCAGCTGCTGCAGGACAGGGAGGAGCACCAGCAAGGCCGGGCGCGACACTTGGACGGCGACGAGTCGGAGGAGGCGGGACCTGCAGAGCCGCCTGGTGAGAGGCCCAGACACATACAGACACTTGGTGAGAGGGAACCCTAGCCCCATGGTGTCGCCTGGTGAGAGGCCCAGTCTGACAGAGACACTTGATGAGAGCCCCAGCCCGATGGTGTCGCCCGGTGAGAGGTCCAGTCTGACAGAGAGACACTTGTTGAGAGCCCGGACCCCATAGTGTCGTCTGATGAGGGACGCAGTCTGACAGAGACGCTTGGTGAGAGCCCCAGCCCCGTGGTGTCGCCTGGTGAGAGGCCCAGACGCATACAGACACTTGGTGATAGAGAGCCCTATGGTGTCGCCTGCTGAGGGGCCCAGTCTGGCGGAGACACTTGGTGAGAGCCCCAGCCCCAAAGTGTTGCCTGGTGAAAGGTTCGGCCTCACAGACACTCGATAAGATCCCCAGCTCAATATTGTCGCCTGGTGAGATGACTAGCCTTAGTGTCAGGAGGCCGGCCCAAGAAAGGCTCTGGTGGCGGCTCAGTAGACCTGTCTTGAGCAGCTGCCTGCGCACAATGCTCACAACTGGAGCCTGCCATGGGGAGTCACCTGTGTATCGTCCGGCAGCATCGCGGCCGTCCAGCGGTCTGGAGGAGCTGGACTCGGACGACACGGACTGGACGCCCCAGGGCGGGCCCACGCCGCGCTCCTCCCGCGAGCGCGCGCCCAAGCCGCGCCGGCCCTGGTCGCCGGAGGTGGCCGGCCGGCCGGCGGCGGCGCCCCGCACCGGCCCGGCGCCGGGCGCGCCGCCCCGCGGACGCGGTCGGCCCCGCAAGCACCCGCTGCCCGCCACGCCCACGGTACGCCCGGCCGGGGCGAGGCGCAGACGGCAGCCTCGCCGTCACCTGCGCAGTGGCAGTGTGCAGTGGCACATGCGCCACCTGTCCGCAGGGGGAGTATTTTGAAGTCACCTCGGCATTCATGGTGTCATAATGACGTCATTTAAGTCCTGTCATTCCATAAGTCACGCGGCGATCAAGGCCAAGAAAAACAGAATTGTCGACGCGTTCATATCTGGCGATTGTGAGCGCGCTTTCCAGATATAATTGTTGTCAACTGGCTCTCAATCAGTTTTGTGCAAGGTACGGTGGCGTAATGAAACCGTGACGCATTGAGGAGAATATTTGCTGAACAGATAATTTCACTGTCTATATCAGTCTTTCACTTGAAAAGCATGCCATTGGTTATAAGTGAGCTTGTTTCAATGCTTGATTCAATCTCTTCAAATGTAAAGCATTCCCTTTAACGGTGACAACGGCTCCGGTGAGGCCGCGGGAGGGGAATGCGCTGAGAGGGAGGCTCTCCGATTAGTACGAGGAGGTGGGGCTTGGCTAGGGAGCGGGACGTTACGGGTGTGCTGAGTTCTGCCTTCAGTGTCACCAGATGGTGCCTCCGGATCGTCTTTGCTTCAAAACTGCCCGGTTTTGTTGTATGCTTGAAGAAAACACCGATCTCCCTCCGGCAATGGTGTCACCGATATATTAGTGATGCACAAATCTAGTAATAATAACATATAATACTATGCATGACATAACACTTGGCCATGTGTTAGTGACAACCGATTAAACACATGTCAACTTTTACGTGTCACCCAAATCGAATCATATCGATGGCGTTGCAGGTGATAGAGTACAACGACATCGGAACACTTAAAGAGCAAGTGAAAGACATCAAGACGCCGAAGTTCAGCATCAAGGCCAAGCGGCCCCTAAAGGTGAAGCCACACAAGACTCATTGAGCGTGCGGTCATCGGTCGAGCGGGCTGACCCGCCCGGCTCTCGGCGGCCTGGCCAGCGCGTCGGGCCGAGCCGGGCAGGGGCGGCGCGTGACACCCGTCACCGTGACCTGTCACCGTGCCTGTCACCGGGACCTGTCGCCGTGACCTGTCACCGGGACCTGTCACCGTGACCTGTCACCGTGGGCTTATCATCGTGGTCTTCCACCGTGACCCGTCACCTAACCTGTCACCGTGACCTGTCACCGTGACCTATCACCGCGACCTGTCACCGTGACCTGTCACCGTGGCTTGTCACCGTGGTCTGTCACCGTGACCCGTCACCGTAGCCTGTCACCGTGACCTATTACGGTGACCTATTACCGTGATCTGTCACCGTGACCTGCCACCGTGCCTGTCACCGTGACCTGTCACCGTGACCTGTCACCGTGACCTGTCACCGTGACCTCTCGCCGTGGCTTATCACCCGTGGTCTGTCACCGTGACCCGTCACGTAACCTGTCCACCGTGACCTATTACCGTGACCTGTCACCGTGACCTGTCACCGTGGCTTGTCACCGTGGTCTGTCACCGTAACCTGTCACCGTGACCTATTACGATGACCTATTACCGTGATCTGTCACCGTAACCTGTCACCTGACCTGTCACCGTGACCTTTTACCGTGACCTGTCACCGTAACCTGTCACCGTAACCTGTCATCGTGACCTATCACCGTGACCTGTCACCGTGGCCTGTTACCGTGGCCCATCACCGTGACCTGCCACCGTGACCTGTCAACGTGACCTTTCACCGTGACCTGTCGCCGTGACCTGCCAAGGGACCTTTCACCGTGACCTGTCGACGTGACCTTTCACCGTGACCGGTCACCCCCCCCCCCTCCCTGACTCTGACGTTTCCACCGTGGCGTGCGCAGGCGGACCTGGAGAGGATCATCCACCTGGAGGTGCGCGCCGCCGACGGCTCCGGGCCGGGCCCGCTGGCGGCGGCGGCGGCGCGCCGCGGCCGCCCGCCCGCGGCCCGCGCCGGCAGTAGCTACGAGTGCCGCCGCTGCGACATACAGTTCCAGGACTCCCGGTGAGTTTGCTGTGGTGTTTGGCGTCCCGGCAGCCCGGCGAGGACCCTGTGACATGTCCTGTGGGGACTCCTGCCAAATCCGGGGTGACGCACCGTCCCAGGATTGCTGTCGAACCTACTGTAACACGCCGTCCTAAGGCTTCCTTTATGCCTACCAGCACACTGTTGTACTGGAATGGACTGGATTTGATTGGGCTGTGTTTTGCTTTGCTTTGCTTTGCTGTGCTGTGCTGTGCTGTGCTGTGCTGTGCTGTATTGTATTATCGGTCGCTGCAGTGTACTGAACTGTATTGAACTGCACTGTGCTGCGCTTCACTGTATTACGTTGCACTGCCCCGCGCTGTACGTTGCTGTGCTGTACTTTCCCACAGTACTGCTCCGGCCAAAACGTGCTGTGATATGTTTGGCTGTGCTGTACTCGACTGCACTGCACGAATCGTCTGCGCTGTGCCGTACTGTATCATGTTGTACGGTTCCGCACATGGCCTGACACCGTCCGCCCGGCCGCAGGGAGATGGTGAAGCACCTGCAGCAGCACGTCAGCAAGCCCTGGTGCAAGCGCTGTCGCACCGAGTTCCCCGACCGGGCGGCGCTGCTGGAACATCGGGCGTGCCTGCCGCCTGCAGCATCGCTCCGGTCCGTACCGCCGCCGCTGACCCGGCGCAGTGCGTCACTGCGTCGCCCTTATGGCCGGGAGGTCGTGGGTTCGAGACCGGCCGCCGGCCAGACTTTTTGGGCTTGATTTGTGTGGAACTCGGCCACTTTTGCACCTCGTGTCCCTTCAGGTTTTTTCTTGTGTGGAGGCGCTGACGATGGGCCTGGTTGAGTCTGGCGTCCGGTACGGGTCGCTGAGTCGGATTCTCTATCGTGATGGCGTCAGTGATAGCCTCACCAGCTCAGGAATGGTCAGAGCATGATCCACGGTCTTCTGTTGCTCATGTTGGGGATTCGGGATGTTCCCCATTGGTGGAATGCGTGCTTGGGCTGTCTGCCTCCCCTGTTGACGCGTGTGGCGTGTTGGAAGAGTGGTCGATTAGTGCAACCTCTACGGCATGCTGCAATCGTTTATTCTTTGTTGTTTATTGTGTATTTAGGTCATAAGCATTCTACAGGCAAAACCCAATTACGGAAGCAGTCCAGTTTTAATACAATCACCTGGATTACGCTGCCGGTGCAGTGACAAGGCGTGATCGGGTGCGGTGCATGTCGCCATAGCATATAGACATCCTCTGCTCATTGAGACTCGGCTAGGACGCCGCCCCTTGATGCAGTCTGGTGCAGCACGCATCACCGCAGTGTGGCGCGGTGCAGTGCGGTGCAGTGACGGCGGCCGTGCCGGCAGGCGTGTGTACCATCTGCGACCGCGAGGTGCAGTTCCACCGGCACCACATGAAGCGGCACAGCGAGATGGTGGCTGAGGGACTGCTGGAAGAGGTTTAGCTGGCTGCTGCGCCTGGATCGGGCTGGATATGCCCCGATCGGGCTAGATTGGTCCGGGCTGGTCTGTATCGGTCCGGTTCGATTCAGATCGGTTTGCTCCCGTAGCCGTGCGGGGGCGGGGGGGGGGGGGAGGGGGGAGGGGGGCAGGGTGCGTGGTGGTCCCCAGGCGGGCGCCGCTCGCGGCTCGATGTCTCTCCGGTGGCTGGGGTGTCTGGCTAGCCCAGGGCTGCTGGAGCTGACTACGTTTATATCCTGTGGACAAAACGTCTGTTGCTCAACCCACGCCGTGGAAAGAACTTCCGGACACGCGCCCTTTTCTCATATTCTTTGCCTCCTGTATATGTGCTGTGTTGGTGGTGAGGGGGGGGGGGGGCGGAGGGGTGGCGCCACTCCAGTGGGCCAAGCTGTCACCGCCGGCGCCGCCTTCGTCACGCCTCACCGGCAGCTGCACGCGCGCCGGCCGTCAGAGAGACCCGTGCCGCGCCGCTCTGACCGTGTGGGTCGGCAGGGGGCGCCCATGCCGGAGGAGCAGGACACGCTGCCGGCGGGCGCGCTGCAGCGGCGCGTCGGCAAGTACCTGGCCGGCGGCGTGTGCAGCATCTGCGGCGAGCACGTGCCAGAAAAGCTGCGCAAGCACGAGCGGCTGCACAACATCACGCACACGTGCCCCATCTGCAAGAAGGTGTTCACGCGCCGAGGACGTGGTTGCGAGGACACATCAAGGTGAGGGCCGGCTCCAGGGAGGCTCGGGAAGGGTCAGGGGAGATTGAGGGGCGGCTCCAGGAAGGATCGTGGGCGGCTCCAGAGGGGCGGGGCGGTTCCAGGGAGGGTCAGGGGTGACTCCAGGGAGGGTTACAGGTGACTCCAGGGAGAGTTGGGTGACTCCAGAAAGGGGTCGTGGGCGACTCCAGTGTGGGTCAGGGTGACTCCAGGGAGGGTCAGGGGTAACTCCAGGGAGGGTTAGTATCGACTCGAGGGAAGGTCAGGGTTGACTTCAGTGTGGGTCAGGAGTGACTCCGGGTGACTCCAGGGAGGGCCAGGGGCAGCTCCAGGACCGCTCGGGGAAGGTCAGGGGACATTGAGTGGTGGCTCCAGGGAGACTCGGGGCAGGCGTGTTGGAATGTTTATGTTCAAACATACATAGTTTATGCCGCTCATATGAACGACCAGGGTGTACCTTATCAAGCGCTTGCCTTCGTGTCTGTCCCTTGTGTCTCGTGCCTTGTGCCCCTTCCCTGCCCCCCCCCCCCCCTCGGCAGCGTCTGGCAATCGCTGTCCTGATCCAGCGCCACGCAGACGTCCGTCCGGGTGTTCGTCGTCACACTGCATTCCACGTGTGTTCTCAGCCGTGCTCGGCGCTGTTTGGTTTATAGTGCGTCTCTCCGTCTGACCAGAGGCGCTCGCCGCGCTGGGCGCCGCCCCACTGGAGTCTCGCTGGGCGCCGCTTCGCTGGAGCCCGCCGCGCTGGGCGCTCCAGTGGAGCCAGCCGCGCTGGACGCTGTCCCGCTGGAGCCCGCCGCGCTGGGCGCCGCCCCCACTGGAGTATCGCTGGGCGTCGCTCCGCTGGAGCCCGCCGTGCTGGGCGTCGCTCCGCTGGAGCCCGCCGCGCTGGGCGCCGCTCCGCTGGAGCCCGCCTCGCCACCGTGCGGTTCTGACGCCCCTCATGCCGTCTGTTTGCAGCGCGTGCACATGAAGGAGCGGCCTCACGTCTGCGCCCAGTGCGGCAAGACGTTTGTCTCCGTCTACAGCCTGCAGCGACACGAGATGATCCCACAACAACGAGTACCCGCTTATACTGCCAGGAGTGCGGCGAACGGCTTCCGCCAGAAGCAGCAGCTGACGGCGCACATGCGCCACAAACACGGCGTCGTCGACGTCGTGTTCGAGGACGTCCAGGGTAACGGCACGCGCTCGAACACGTGGGGCGCCGGCAGAGACCGAGGCTCCCGGTCTTCTGACGCGAGGTGGAGGCCGGGTCGCTGCTGAAATGTTGCGCTGGTGCCGCCAAGCATCCGGATTTGAGACGGGGACGACCCACGGTCACGACAGTGCGCGCGCGGATGAATAATGTGATGACGTGTGAGATGCGTCGCACCGTCAGCCAATGGCTGGTCACCGCGCCCCTGGGCCCACATATTCCGACTGTCAGCTAATGGCTGCTCACCGCGCCCGTAGGCCCACATATTCCCGACTGTCAGCTAATGGCTGTTCACCGCACTCGTAGGCCCACATATCCCGACGGGCGAGCAATGTCGCTCATGATGGGCGATACCCTGGAGGTGCTCTGTCACCGAGCCGTGTGACTCCGCCCTGCCGTGAGCCGGTGGCCTCTGACCTTGATCTCTGAGCTCCTGACGTGATCACTGGATGTTATGTGTGACCTTGATCCCCACCGGCCGCTGAACGTGACCACTGGTGGCCTTGACCGTGACCCCCATTAGGCCTCTGATTGACCCCTCACCCGGAAGTATGTCAGCGCCCCCCCTCCCCCCCCCCCCCATTGCGACCCTTGACCGTGGCCTGTGACGACGACGTCAGGCCTCGGCCCCCTGGGCGTGACCCGTGACCGCGTGACCGCAGGTGATGCCGGAGGGCTCGGCCGTGGTCGACGCCATGGCCGTGATGACTGACGGCGGCGTGTCGGTGTACCGCGGCGCCGTGCTCGAGCACGACCAGTACGACAAGGAGGAGTACGTCATAGCCACCAGCAGCGCCGACGGCGACGACGACGGCGTGCGCTTCAGCGGCGTTTCCGACGCGGAGGACCACATCTACCGCACAGCGCTGCCCCACGCGGCTGGTGATGGCGTGCATCTGGAGCACCAGTAACCGGCGTCGGAGGCTGGACCGGCCTCGAGAGCGGCGCTGTGGTGAGCCGGGGAGCGGACCGACCCGCAGGATCAGGTGGCGACGTCAGAGGCTGGACCGTCCCTGAGAGCGGCGGCTGTGGTGCGTCGGAGAGCGGACCGACCCGCAGGAATCAGGTGGTGACGTCAGAGGCGGGACTGGAGTGGGGGAGCGAGGAGCATGGTCAGGTACGGGTGTGGTTCCAGTGGCGCGGCGCGGTGCAGCTCGGCGCGGCGTCAGTAACGGGGCTGGGACGGAAGCTGCGAGGATGGGCGACGGACGCTGGACTCGAGCTGGGAAAGCAACCAGCCCTGCGCGGCCGGAACACTGCGGTGAAGGCTCGCTCCAACCGCACGTCACTTGTGTGTATCTGTCTGAAGGTGTCTGGTCGGCGCGCCTCTGGAAGCGAACGGCTGCCCGGTTCTGGCGGCTGTCCGGTCGTCTCACGGTGCTGGACGGCGCTCCTGGTACCAAACAGCTGCGGGGTGGGCGATGCGCGGTCGTTTTTTCATCGGTGATTGAGTGCTGACTTATCGAGGAGGCCATCTCTGGACGTGGGAGTAATTGTAGGCTCACGTGTGATGTTTCTTCCCACGCATGAGCAAACGGGGCGTGCGATGGGGTGTGGAAAGTTGGCGACGCGACTTCCGACAACTATTTGGCTGTCTTCTTGACGACATGCAAAGTTTTGAAATCTTTTCGTCCATTTTCTCCTTCGCTCACGTTGGTTTGGTTTGAACTTGCCTGCATGTACTCGTTATGCCAGTGTGCTGGGGTGGCTTCACATGGATCATGATGCGCACTTGACAAGTATATTCCGTTTCGCTGTACAGTTTGTGTTAACCCTGCGATCTCGCTCGGACTCGAATCCTGCTGGAGCATGATTGTTGCCTTCGTGCAGACGCACCGCGATTCTCGCACGTCGTCCTTGTAGCGGGCGCTGGGCGGACGCTCTGAGGTAATCAGCAGATTCGTTCTGCGCTAGAGTCGCCCCGCTGTTCCGCTGGGTGTCGAGCATGATATGCGGAGGCGGATCCAAAGAGGGAGGGGACATGCCTCCGCCCTTGTGGCCCGAAGGGGCCCATAGCCGGCTGATCAGACGCAAGTTTTTACACAAAACTCAACAAAGTTGGACGTCTTTTGGCTTACAGGTGACTAAAAATAGTCCAAAGGAACAGTGAGTGGTCCACGAGTAGACAACATTCTTCCTCACTGACTGAGAGGGTGGAAAGTGGGAGGTTTAAGGGTCATTACACTGTCCAGAGACCCCTACGCTGTTTCCGGGGGCTCTATATATCCGTTTGCAGGGTTAATCCGACCATTACGAGCCTTCTACTCGCCCCCTGATTGCTTGTGCACTTTCTCTGAGAGTCCCGCGCTGTTGCCAGAGCCCTTCGTTTTAGCGTGCCGGGGCACTTGTCGATCAGGGGCCTTCCACTGATTCCCTCCATTGGCCGGAAAGGCTCCGCACGCTATAGCCGGGGGCCCCACATGTGAACCTGCGGGATATTCTCGGTCGTTCAGGGACCCTTCATGTTGGTCTCGGTTGGCCCACCGACACTCGCGACAGGCCCATGGGCCCTCTACAATGGTTACGCCCTTCCCATCCCGCCATTTGCTTGGAGCCCTACGCTCTTGTCGGGGGCCCATCTGTTAACCTGCTCGGGCACACTCGATCGCTGAGGGGCCTTCTACATTGGGTCTTGGGTACCTCCTATTTGAATGGAGGGCCCTGTGCTCTTATCGGGGTCCCTATCCGTTAGCCTCTTCCGGCCCGCTTGATCGTTTGGGGCCATCTACACTGTGTTGTGAGTATTTCTTATTTGAATGGTGTGTCCTGTGCTCTCATCGGGGGCCCCTATCTGTTTACCCTGCTTCGGCTCAGTCGATCGAGATCCTTCCACATTGTGCTGCGAGTATTTCGTATTACAATGGTGGACACTACTCTCTTGTCGAGAGGCCTAGCTCTTAACCTGCTCTGGTCACTCGATCGTTCGGGGGGCCCCATATTGTGTAGTGGATTTTCAGTATCTAAATGGAGGGCCCTTCGCTCCTGGCGCCCCCAGCTGTCAACCTGCTCGGACGCACTTAACCGTTCCTTGGTTCTTCATATTGTGTGTTGGGTATTCTTATTTGATTGAACAGCCCTATGTTATTGTCGGGACCCCATCTTTAAAACTGCTCGGGCCAATAGCGGATTCGGAGGGGACGGGTGGAAGGCGCGGAACCACGCCTCCGGGTGCTCCAAGTAGGACTCTGAAGGGGTCCATGTTCTGCCGAACGGACGTAGTTTTCTAACATAAAACAACAAGTTGGACGTCTTTGGGCCCCCCCGGACGACAAAGAACAGTCACAAGCGAAAGTAAGAGCCCGTGAGCAGGTAAAGCGTTCGCTGATTGAAAATGTGGTGATTGGGAGGCATTTTGAGGCTTATTACGTTGTCAAGAGGTGTTACGCTGCTGCCAGGGTCCTATATCTCCCCTTGTCGGATCAGTCTGATTGTCCAAGGGACGTTTCACATTCGGAGATACTGAGGCAAGCATCAAACATGATGAAACAAGCTCACTTAATATTGGTATGGTTTTTAGGTGGAAAAGATCGCTTTTGACATGCGCAATTCTTTGTTTAGTTGTGGTATGTGTGGCAAGGTGCGCTCGTCGCCTCGCTGGGCGCGCCTCTGCGCAGCGGCTCGACCTTGAACGACCTTGACCACGTGACCTGGTCAGACGGCACGGAAAACCAGACGGAACGCCAGTCGACTGTAACCGGTGAGTGAGGATGATCACACCGGTGGCCAGCGGTTCGGTGCTGCAATGGAACGGGACCACAG